TTCGAAGGCCTTGCCAAACATGTTGATCCGCGGCTGCGCACCTCTGGAGACAGACTGGCAGCTGCCTCGGTTCACGCTCACTTGTCGGTCGTTGGAAGCAGGTGTTTTTGGAGTCCCATATTCCAACCTACTTTAAGAGCCTTTTACTTCGATGATCGAGTGGCTTCACCTCTTCCGGCCTCGGTTCATGCTCACTCTGGATGGGGCAATGATCGCCCCCCCTTGAATCCGCTGGGGGGGTTGGGCACGTGCTGTCGGCACGGGTGGAGGGGGGGGTCGGGGGAAGAGGAGGAGGATGAGGAGGGGGAGGAGGACGGAGGGGGCGGGATTAGGCAAGCTCAGTCGGGAGGTTGATCCCCCCCCTTGATAAAACCCCATCCAGAGTATTCCGAGCCGCTCTCCTGCCATCCCGCACCGACACGGTATCGGCTTTCATCAGGGGAGGGGAAGGCACCCCGACCCCCAACACTGGCGCTCCTTGGACGGCCCTGGGCGTTTACGAAACAACCCTGCCCTGTTCGATTGCGCTCTTGGCTGCGTTTGCTAAACGGCTTCGCCCGTCGGGGTGCTTGTTCGGAGTTTTTTTAGTACTATTTTTTTGTTTTCTAGTTGAGCTCGCTGGGGGATCCACTCCGTCAGACTCTGTCTCCACCTCGGCAGCTCAGGTTGTGCACTTGTCTGCCGAAGGTCCGAGGAGGACTCGGCATCGCTCGCCTCAAATTCCAGGGGCTACCCTCGAGGGCGCGACCTCACCCGCGCTTCCCGGCTCGCGGCTCGGCCCCGCCCCGCCCTGTCCTTCTCTCCCAGTGGGGTGCGCTCCGCGAGATCGCGCAGGTCTTCGTGCCCCGCGCTCCGCGCGACGCGCGAGCTTCTCGTGGCCCCCGAGACCCCGGAGACGGCTTGAGCCAGAGGGGCTGCGGACGCTGGGTCTGCTCGGGCTCCTCCCGAGCTTCGGTTTGACAGCTGCCCCCCTCTGTGCTCAGCTGCTTGCTCCTACACTTCCCAATGCGCCGGGGCATCGTTCCTGGATGGGCTGGTGGGGACACTTTTTTTGGTCGCGGCCGCGCAGCAGAGGGCAGGCGGCGAGAAGGGAGTCCGGGCCGACGGGCAAACCTAATTAGTTGCTGGGCGCAGCACGCTGGTGGGGAGACGCGAAGAGTCAACCATTGCCCCCCAGACGCTCGCCAGGAGGCCATCGAGAGGACAGAGCACTGAGGCTCCTTGGCATTGTTATGCTGTTTCGCTTTCCCCGCCGTTCGGTTGCAGATCGGCCCACGTTCGACCTTCAAAGGTGAGCGCCTCGTGTGCAGCGGCCGTGCCCGCGGGGCTCCGGCCCCCACCCGCGGTGGCGTCGGTGGCGTCGGCACGGCTGTCCGTCCCGCCCGTGCCGCTCTCCTCTCGGCAGCCTCTTAGCTCCACCGCCGCCTGCTCCTCGGCGCCTCCCTCGGTTTATGAGGTTCTAGCCTACTTTAGCCTTGGTCACCAGAAAGAATTTCGAGCGCACCCCAAAGCTCGAGGGCTTTCACGTGTCGGACACTTTTCTGGGAGCTCGAAGTGATTTCTGGGATGTGGTCTTTGAGTGCGATGGGAGCAACATAACCCTCGGTGTCGTGGCGCCAACATCGCAGAGCGGATGTCGTTTGGGAAACGATCAGATGGGCCCGGGGTGTCGTGGAGAACGCCGTTCTGGATTTCGAGGTGACTTTCGTGCAGTTCTTTCTTCTTGGGGGGCCAGGAGCGAAGGCTGAAGCAAATCCACGTGAATTCCCTTCGTGTTTCGCTCGCCGTTTAGGGTTTCTGCATCGACAGAAATCCACGCAGAAATCCGCTGCATCACGTCTGCAAGGGCGGGGCGGTGATCGGTGGCCGTGCCGACGCACCGCCGGGCTGCGCATCCCGCGGGCGCGGGCGCCGCGGTGGCCTCGCAGCCGCGCCCGAGCCTCGCGGGTCGCGCCTCGGAGTGCCCGTGGGAGTGGCGAGGTGGCCCCCGCGCGCAGAGCGCGAGATGCTTGCGCCGGCTCGCGCACGGGCGCGAGATGCTCGCGCTGGGCTCCTGTCCAAGGTGTGCCTTTTCCTGCACGTCCCGTTCGGCACCGCCTGATCCCCGGGCCCTGCCCGTTCTTGGCCGCGTGAGGCCCCGCCTGTTCTCGCCCCCTCTCTTTCAATTAAAGCCGCGCGCGTCCCGCGGAGCTTTTAGCGGAAGAGGCTCGCTTTCGCCTTGCAGATCAAAAAGCCACGCCGCTGTCCAGGTGCCTGCGGCAAATCCGCCACCGTGCCAGCGAAAAACTCTGTGTGCGGCGACCGCTCGAGCACTGCCCAGCACGCCGTCACGATGGGACGCTTCGCGCCTGCCTGGTATACCTCTCCTGGGCAGCTCTCGCGTGGGGCTGTTCGGGCCGTCTATGGGCCGTCTTCAGCTCCCGTCGGGCAGTCTATGGGTGGGGGTCCTTTGGGGTCCCTTGACACCTTCTTCGGCCGTCTCGGGGCCCTCTTGGGCCGTCTCGGGGCCGATGTGACCGTGCCTCTGTGGACCATCCTGGGGCCTTCTTGGGGCCCTCTTGGGCCGTCTTGGGTTCTCTTGGAGGCCCCCTTGAGCCAGCTTGGGGCTCTCTTGGTGTCGTCTGGGGCTGTCCAGGGGCCCTCTTTGAGTTGTGAGTGTGCCCTGTAGGCCCTTCGAAGGTCGAAAGTGGACCGATCTTCAACCGAACAGCGGGGAAAACGAAACAACATAAAAATACCAAGGGACCTCAATTCTCTGTCCTCTAGATGGCCTCCTGGCGAGCGTCTGGGGGGCAATTTTTGATTCTTCGCGTATTCCCACCAGTTTCGGCCCCTTCCTGGTCTCGGCCTGAGTTGGGGCGGTAGGCCTGTTCGTGCTAGGTAATTTAGGACCTCGAGCGGCCCGCTCGGACCTTGACACGCCGTCGGCGCGCTCGCCTGCGGCTGGCTACAAAAAAAGTATCCCCACCAGTCCATCCAGGAACGATGCCCGGGCGTGTTGGGAAGTGTAGGAGCAAGCAGTTGAGCACAGAGTGGGGCAGCTGTCAAACCGAAGCTCGGGAGGAGCTCGAGCAGGCTCAGGAGTCAACCAGAAATAGGTTCGCGGATCCTTGCACATAGGAGCCTCTTGGCAGTTTTTTCTTGGGGCCATGCTGTGGCCCTCTGAAGGCCCTCATGGTGTTCTCTTGGGGCTCTCCTTTGGCCCTCTTGGGGCTCTCTTGGGGCTCTCCTTGGGGGCCTTGGGGGTCCTCTTGGGCCAGTTCGGAGGCCATCGATCGGAGAAGGGAGGGTTCTTTCTGTCAGCCCCCCCGTCTCATGCCCATGATCGTGCGCACGATCCTCCTCCTCTTCCTCCTCCTCCTCCTCCTCCTCCTCCTCCTCCCTCCCCTCCCGATCCCCGTTCCTCTTCCAAATCTCTCCCCGTCCCTGTTCGCGAGCCAGCTCACCCACCTTGTCCCTCTTCATATCTCCCCTCCACCGTCTCCCCTCTCGTCTCCTCGCCTCTCGTCTCCTCCCCTCCGTTTCGCTCCGCTCTCTCTTTTTTCTCTTCCCCTGCCCCCCCTCCCTTCTCTCCCCCTTCTCCCACCCCCTCGTTTTCCCCCCCTCCTCGTCCACCCCTGACTTTTCTCCTCCTCCTCCTCCTCCTCCTCCTCCTCCTCCTCCTCGTCCACCCTGACTCTCCCTTCGTCCTGCCCAGGCCAGGGGGCCCGTCGCCTGCGTGCCTCTGCCCCTCGCGCGCGCGCGCGCCTCCTCCCGCCTCAAGGAGCGCCGGCGTGCCGACCGCACGGGGGGGCGCGCCGCGATGGCGCGCGCCCGCTGCCGCACGCGGGGGTGGCCCCGCCGCCGCCGCGCGCGCCGCCCCCCCCCTTTCATCGGGGGCGGCAAAGAAGGGGGTGATGACCAGAAGGTTGTGGATATCATGGCGGGGGCCATAATATATCCCCAGATTTCATGGCGCCTCTTCTTGTTTCACTACGTCCCTGCCCCCCCCGCTGGGCGCACATGCCGCCGGTCATGATTTGCACTGCACTTCCCCCTCTTGGACACACCCCTCTTGGCCGCTCCCGATTTCAGTCGATCGCAAACATGGATTCAGGGGGCGTGGATTAGCGACGGGTCCCGCTTCCGTGTGGAATCGCAGATATCTGCCGCCGAGCGAGGCGGCACCGGCCGCACTTTGGGGAGGGCACCTTCCCCGATCCATGGATTTGGCGACCGCTCGCCAAATCCATGGATCGCTAATCCATGGTTGCCCCCCCTCCTCTCCACGCTCCGTCGACCAGGAATGTTGGCCTGACCTGCGAGAGAGATTGGGCGCCCGAGTTTTCCGTTGTAACTCGGGTCCGGGGTAACTCGGATCTGGATTCCCGAAGAACGAGCCCGAGTTAGCCCTGACCCGAGTCACCCCTGATGATTCGGGGCTCTGGACGCCCGAATTATCTGGGGTAGCTCGGGCCCGGGGTAACTCGGGTTCGGAATCCCGAAAAACGGACCCGAGTTAGCCCTGACCCGAGTTACACCTGATGATTCGGATCTCTGAAAAGATGTGTATGCGTGCGTGTGTGTGTGTGTGTGTGTGTGTGTGTGTTTTGGTGCTTTGGTGCGTCGGCGGCCTGGGGCGTCTGCACCTCGCCAGGCCCGTGCGCTGGGCCCTCGAGCGACGTCCGTCGCCTGCCGAGCCCGAAAGGAGCCGAGCCGCGGGCAGCGCCCCCGCGCGCTCCCCAGGGCGGCGGCGCCGTGGCCCTCTCGAGGCCGCGCCCCACCCTAGGCCCCTCAGCCTGCTGCCAAGGGGGGCCGAAACGCAGCGAGAAACGCGCCGCGCCCAGGCCACCCGCAACGCGGGGAAGCAGGCCCGAGCGCCCCGAGCGGGGCGGCAGCCCCGCCCAGGCCCCTCAGCTCACGGATAACACCGCGCCAAGGGGGGCCGCACGCACTGAGACCAGACAGATCATTGAACGAGCACAACGGCCTCAACTCAGATCCCTTCCAGTCTTTGGGTCCTGGCCGCGCTGGATGCGGCGAATGCGCCTGAGGCGCTCCTTGTCGCCTGGGTCGCGCGGGTCCAGCCGCCTGCACGGCCCGCCGAGGTTCCTGGCCACCGAGCTGTAGTAGGAACCGCACACGACGCAGACCACGAAGTTGCCAATGATCTCGACCGTATGTGGCCGAGGCTCCGATGAAGCGGCTCTGGCCGTCGCAGGCAGCGCCTGGCCACTCCTGGCGGGCTGGGCAGAGGCCGCCCGCCCGCGCGCACCCCGCTCTGGCTCCGAGGCCGCCGCAGCCCCAGCCGAGGGCGGCGGGGACCCCGCCAGCGGTGCCAGGCCGCCCTGGCCAGAGCCCGCCGCCGCCGCCGAGGATGCTGAGGAACCAGTCCTTGGGGCCTTACCACCGTGTTTCAGGCTGCCCTGGCCAGCACGAGCTTGGTGTGCCGCCAAGGGGGCGGAGCACACAGCGGCCGCTGCCTGGGTGGCAGCCTTGCCGTCCACGTCCAGGGAGCTGGCCAACTCGCCCTGATCAGCTCCAGGCTCGCCAGCGGGTTGAGCAGCAGGCGGCACCGTGGGAACAGGAGCTGCCCCAGCGCCAGCCGTAGCACCGTCGTCCACGTCCTGGGAACAGGTGGCTGCCGCACTGCGGATCCGCAAAACACCCTCCCGCCTCGCCCCTCCCGCTGGAGCTCCCTCCTCCTGTGGCTGGAGTGCCCTGGGGGCGAGGTCGGGATTGGGCGACGACTCGCGCTCTGACGCCTGGGTGCCTGTGGCCTGCGTGGCCTTGCCGTCTGCCTCCACCACCTCGAGGTCGCTGTGCACGCTGAGGGCCGCGAACTCGTCGGTATCGTCGTAGCCATGGGCGTCCTCGGCGGCGCGGCCTGCCGCATCACCTCCTTGGTCGTCATCCGAGGAGAGGGGCTCGAAGACCCACTGGTGCCAGGAGGCCGTCTCAGGCGGGGCACGATCTCCAAGAAGATCCCTGAAACGCTCCCTGACCTGGTTCAACACATCGAAGTGGTGCCGAAGCAGCCGACGGCGCTGCCTGGCTGTCAAACCCGAGTCAGGCCGTACCCTGGCGAACTGAGCCTGACGGGCTGGTTCGGCACGCGTCCAAGAGGTGGCGCATAGGTCGTCGACGACCTGCCCGAGAGTGCGGCCAGGGTTGCTACGTAGAAGATGCTCTCGAACTGGTGCCCGCGCCGCCGAGCTGAGAAACCTTTCAAGATATTCCGAACACCACGTACGGTAGTCCCACTCGTTGGTGAAGCCTGCCACGTCGAAACGATCGATCCAGAAAGACGCCCAGATGATGGCATCGTCCATGATGGAACGGACATGCTGCTGTTCGGGCGTGATGTGTGGCTGGCTTGGCGGGGTTCCCATGCACACAGGGCCGTCAGGTATCCGCTCCATCCTGCCAAGAGCCGCGCGGGCTGCTGCGACAGGAGCCCACAGCGGGTCGGGGCCCAGCTGGGAGGCAGGCGCAGGGTCGGGCTCTACTCGAGGCTCACCCTGATCTCCATGGTCTGCTCGCTGTCGCACAGGCCGAGCGGCGGCGCCTGCCGCCACGAGAAGAGGCACCGCCACACTGCCTCTCTTGGCCGCACTCTTGACTAACTTGCCCTGGAGCCCTTGGAGACGACCACGGCACTCCTGCAACTGAAAGGCCGCGAGGCGAGTGCGGGCAACCTTGCCGCAGTTGGTGCACTTGGAATAACCGCGGCACACTTCCAGAACGTGCGGGTGCCTGGGACCAGCCTGGGGTCGTGCAGCCTGAGGAATGTTGGCCTCTTGGCCCTGCTGTCGTTTGGGCCTAGGCTCCGCCAGCTTGACCCCGTCGAGGAGGACCCTGAAGTGCCCGATGTACTCGAGCACGCGCTTGGTGGCCTTGAGCTCCTGCTTGACCTGCAACGTGGCCCACTCTGGCGGCGCGCTGAGGTCTGCTCCTTGCTTGGCCCATTCGTCGGCTAAGTCATTGCGCCTCATGTGAATCTGGACCTCCTCTGGCAGCTCTAGGCGTTTGGCCTGCGATATGTGCGAGGCGACTTTGATGACCGACAACTCTCTGCCAGGAAGGATGTCCATGTCATCCAGGCGATCCCAGATCTCGAGCCAGACGTGCGCATAGGGCCTGGCCGCTGAACAACACCATGCCCTGCCACGAGCCAAGCCTTGGACCACCTGAGCATTGTCAATGATGATGGCCGTGATGAGGACCGAATGCCTGAGGGCGTGGAGGAGACCCCACAACTCTGCCAGGACCGAGCTGGGGTCGGGAAAGGGCAGTGGGCCGTACAGGCCCTGCACCACGTCGTCGGCCTCCGCTGTGCACTGCAAAGCCGCCCAGCCGCCGTGCCTGAGGTCATCCAAGCCTTTGACTGATCCGTCCGAAACCAGTACATCGGTGAGCTCGGGGGCCGCGCCATTGACGATCCAATGGGTGCGCTGCGACGGTAGACTCCAAGCCAAGCCGTAACATGGGGTTCGCCGCAAACCCCGCTCCCACAACCATCTTGAGGCTTCCGACGAGGAGGCCGACACGCCCAGGTGGCCGACGTCTCTGAAGGTAGGTGACGCGTCGTGGGCCGTCAGCTGCTCCCTCACCGTAGCACACGTCGGGCTGCCGCACCGCCAGTAATAGTGCTGGTGGGTGCCGAAACAGGTCGTGTCGTCGCAAAGCTGGCAATGCGGAGTGTCCGCCTGGCCCGAAGAGAAAAGGGCCTCCTGCGAAGGGAAACCGCCCAACACCACCTTCTTGACCGCGTCGGCATGGTGTTGCAGCCGCCCGTCCTGCTTGCGCCGCTTGACCAACTGCCTCGCTGGGGTGAGCCACGGCGCTGGCAGGAGCGCAGCCCGCTCGGGCTGAGCCGCCGCCCACCACTGGCACAGGGCTCTGGAACGGGCGGCCAAAAGCACGGCGGCCTCGACCGACTTGGGGCAAATCTGCAGTAGATTAAGATGGACGTCCCCTCCTTGGAGCACCCCGCCACGTGGGGGCAAGACAATCTCGAAGGCTGACGGCGTGCTCCAACCATGGGCTCGAACTGTGACTGAGGTGGCCCCCGCTGGGCCGCGCACCACTGACCACAACTCCTGAGCGTCGGCGTCCATGTACAGCGCGAGCTGTTGCTGCACTCGGGCCCATGCTGTGGCCTGCGCACGCCGCCCCTCTGGGTGGTCCCAAGCTTCCCTCGCCCAAGCCAGCAGCGGTGCCAGAACGAGGGTGTCGGCGCAACTGGGGTCGAGGCCGTCGTGCAAGACTCGGGAGGTAAAAGCTGTGGCGCCCCTGCGGACGGCCCGATCCTTCTGCTGGATGAAACGCACGATGGGCCTGGGCGTGCCGCGGACACGGGCGCCGTAGGCGACCGAGGCTCCGAGGCCCTGCCGCACGACCATCTTGAGCTTGCCCCCGCGTGCACGAGGAAGGCCGCGGATCTTAGGCCAACGCTGCTTGGCTATCTTGAGCCGCGCGTGTCTGACTGGGGCTGACTGGTTCTCTGTCTTGACGCTGGGACCGTAGTCGATGCCGAGCCACCGCTCGGAGGTGCTGGGCGGTACTCCCAGGACGGCCATGGCCTGCGTCAAGCCTGAAGACGGAGTGGCCGTTTGCAGGAAAGAGCACTTGCCTCTCGCCCCGTCCCGCGCTCGGGCTACCTCCAGGCCCAAGAAGGACTCCAGCATCCAAAACAGCAAGCGCGTGGCCTGCGGCAGCATGTGCAAGACGCGCGCCTCGGTGGACATGACCCGCAGGGCGATGTCATCAACGTGCAAGTAGATCGTGAGGCGGAAAACCCCCAGCAGGTCGTCTAAGCACAGCGTGAGGTAGAACCTCAGGAAGGTGGGCGCGAAACGGCTGCCCGCTGGGAGCGCTGTGGAGGACAGGACCTCCGCCGAGCAGGCCCCCCCGAGACGAATGACACGGCCAAAGGCGAAACTTTCCAGGGCGAGCGCGACCACCTCCAGCGGGCCGTCCCACCAAGCTGCTAGCCACCACATACGCTCATGCGGAACCTTCTCATAACACTTGGCGAGGTCCGCCAGCATCGTGGCCGCACGTATGCCTGTGCCCAACACGAGCTCGTCGTCCAACAAAGCTTTCCACAGCGCACGCTCCGATGATTGGCCCGCCGCCGTGTAGTCGTAGCTCCTGGGGTGCGCCGCCAACCAGCTCCTGATGGTGGGCAGCTGCCACGCCTCCCAGATTCGGCAAGGGCCAGGTAGAAGAATGATGGGTCGGCCCCCTCCATCGAGCTTCCCGATGATGAAAACGAGCAGGAGGTGGACCTGGGACGGCCACCGCCCCAGTTGTTGGCACCAGGCCAGCAATGACGCGAGCGCCGAGAGCGTGCCGTCCGTGAGGTAGGCCCAAAGCTTGGGTTGCCATCCGTCCACGCCAATCCCCGTCTTGGCCCTGAAACGCTGGGCCAAACCGCGCAGGTGGTGAGGGCTGGGCGGCGTGACGGCGACTTGCTGGAGGCCCCTCCACGGCTTGGGGAAACCTGAGCCAGTGGTCCAGACCTTCGACCAGTCGTGCAACTCCTGGTCCACGGCGGCCTGAGGCGCCGCTGGGGGCAGCTTCTTGGAGATGCTGCCCTTGGGAGCCTGCCAAGCCTGGCGCCACTTGGTGACCCTGTGGAGGAGCCCCTGCGAGCCTGGGAAGTCGTCCTCCAACCGCTGCTTGAAGGAATCTCGTCGTTCCTTGCCGATCTGCCACTCCAAGTAAGAGGCATACTGACTGCAGCTGAGGCGCCAAGCCGAGAGCTCCTGCAAGTCTTCATAGCCGCGGTCCCGGGACGTGAAAACCTCGAAGAACTCCTGCAGCTCAGCCACGCCTTCTAACAGCATGGGGTGCCTGAAGCGGTCACGCAACTTGCGGATGGAGGCGTGCCGCTGCTGGTGCAACGTGGTGAGGACCAGGTCGGAGGCGCCCGTGTAGCTGAAAAGCTTTGCTTCAATGATGCCCAGCCAAGCCAACTCGTTGGCAAACCACCTCCAACGCTTGGCCTCCCCGTACGAAGCGATGGCCTCGGTGTGGGTCGGGAGCAACGGGCACTTCCTGAAGCGCGGTGGTCCCCCACGCCCTCGGCATTGATCGGCTTGCCGACTGCTGGGGTCCAAACCCACCTTCTGGATCAGCTCCTCCTCGGCGGCGTGGCAGAAAGCCTCCCAGGTGTCGTCCAGGAGCTCCTGGGTAGGCACCGCATCGGGGTCGAAACCTGCAGGCACGTCTGGGCACGAGAGATCGAAGTGCCTCGGCTTGACTCCTGGGATCGGGAACTTGTGGGGTCGGATGAGCTTGGTGTAGGTAAAGGCCGACCAAGGCTGCTGAAACTCGACCCATGTGGCTCTATGAGGGTGGTAGACCGCGTCGTCGTCAATGCGGGCTGGGGAAATATTGGCAGCCAAACTGGAGTGCATCCAGAAATAATCGATCACGCGCTCACCGTGCGGGGAGCGGTTGGTGCCCCCTTCCCCTTGCCACGCTACGACGCGGCCTCTGAGCTGGTTGTTCCACGGCGAACGCTCCAAAGCGTCAGGTAGATTCTCCCAGTCCGCGATGACGATCCAGGGCAGCTGGAGCTGGACTGCCCACCCCGTGATAACTGACAGGAGAGCTGAATTGCCCACAGACGCCAACTTCTGACCAGTGAAGCAATACGCACAGAAAACCAGTAACTTGCCGATGCCCTTGGCCTCGAGGGTGGCCATCAGGAGCCTGCCTGCACAACCTGGGGGAGATATGTCCCAGTGTCGCTGTCCAGATGCAAGAGTGACGCCGACGCAGGCAGGTATCGCCAGCAAGACGCCCGCCGAGGCCCCTCCATTCGGGCCGTCCGTCGCTGGCGTGGGCAGGGCCCTCCAGCCCAAGGGCAGCAGGGCCCGTGCGCTCTCTTCGGCCCATAAACGCCGCTTGCCGTGCTCCTGGAAACCGATGATCGGAATCTTGCCCTCGGTGAGCTGCTGGTGTGCCGCGCCGTGGAGGTAGCCCACAACGTTGCCCCAGCTGAGGCTGGCATTGACGCTGTGGAAGGTGAAGCGCCTGTGGCTCCGCTGTCGACGCTTGCCTCTGCGGGCTCCTGCTGCTGAGGGTCGATACTTGGCGACGTCGCACTGGGGCTTTGCCGAAGTCCCGCTGCAGGTGGACTGGCCGCCAGCACTGCCGACACTGACGTCCCCGCC